TGATGAAATAACGAGTAAAAAATCTATTTAGAAATGTTATGAAAGCAAAGAGGTCCGAAAGACTCAATCCTAGGAGAGCTTGTTATAGAACGTGTTTCAAGGTTGTTGGTCACCACTTTTAGTTCTGTGACAGATTCAGTTCTGAAGCAATCAAATATTCTAGAGGGGAGCATTGATATATCCGCCTAATACAGTCAGATGGTTACAGGCACATCAAGAGAAAACTTTTGCTTGCCACACTGTTATCCAGACCCATGTATACTCCAAATCTCGAAGTCAGATTAGGCGTGTCTATGGGTTTGACGTGGCGGCCGCCGCACTTGATAGAAGTTGCGCGGATAAGCTGCTTCCAGCATGCTTTGCTGATATCCAGCGGAGTATGTTAGAAACAGCTTATCCACACGGCTTTTATCAAGTGCGGCAACGGCCACGTCAAATCCACAGACACGCCCAATCTGACTTTGAGATATGGATCGGAAACCCATTCGCGACAATGCGAGCTTTCGCGTGTCTGCCGTGTGGGACCGCGCCTTTTTTAATATTTTCGAAAAATGTGTCATAATGCGGCTAACCACCTGCACCAAAAATGTTGAATCTTGAAGCAGAAACTGTTGAGACTTTGCAAGTTTCGTATGATTGCAGACCGCTTCCAAAATGAGCGTAAATCTTTAGGTTTTGCCCAGGGTGTATTTCGGAGCAAGCCAGAAAAACTTCAAATTTCCACTCCAAAATCCGTAAATGAGGTCGGATCCAGATCTCTTTTTGTGAAAAGTTGTATCATTACTCTAGCTGACTCCAAAGCGAAAAGCCAGCCGGATACATTCGAAAAAAACAAGCTTTGCCTTGAAAAATCACTTTCAAACATCTCTTGTGTAAAACATCCATAAAAAATATGCACGGACCATGATTACCTCAAGTATTACAATGTCCTCCTGATCAATCACCTGTATCACCTGGTTTTTGGTACGATCTCAAGGAGCGAAGAGCAGCAGTATTAGCTGAAGCAGCAGAGGCTGGGAGGAGCATCCGCAATGCCCGCCGAAGCTTTGCCAGCTACAAGACCAAGATGACCTGCCTCCGACGTCCGGATGGAACAGTTACTGCATCCCGAAGGGCAATGGAGAAAGTCATCCACGACTTCTACTCGGATCTCTTCGATAGCCATGTCCATCTGCCTACTTATCAACCGCAAGAGGATGGATACGTTGTCCCCTCAGTTCTCTCTTCCGAAGTCCGACACGCCATCAAGTCGGTGAAGAATTTACAGCACCCTCGTTAAGTTTGGTCAAACCTGTGGGAAGAAGAATTATCTTCCACGCCGCGTCACCATATTGAGCCGCATGTCCCACGTGGCAAAAAAGTGGGTCCCCACGTCGAGCCGCAATGTCGCCAACGTGTTAAGTAGGCGTCACTGTTGCTGACTGCAATAGCAATCTGTTCGTGATCGAGATTCCAGCGAGTCGAGACGTGAGAAAAGCAAGGTTGCGAGCAAACAAAAGGTACCCTCTCGTTCTAGTCTCTCCACTTTTACAAGCCCTAAAACCTATTTGGATGCCGATCGAGACAAAAATCCATCAATCGCACGTAATGATTATAGGCAGCCATTTTGTTGGATGACATCTTGAATTACGAATTCCGACACAACTCGTATGGGATGTTCGCGACTTTTTTCTCGTCAAAATGAAAACTTCTGACTTTAGATGAATAGGCAAACCTAGCAAAGTAGGTACAAGATCAGGTCGAAGAAATGCTGTTGCTTTCAACTTCGGTATTTATGTTTGTTGTCGATTACGCTTTCAAATAAACACGATTAAAGACTGATATCAAATTGGCTCATAAGTTTTGCAACAGGAGAAGATTCGAGTTAATTATTTAAAAATCCGTATTCATAAATGTGAATAAAATCACTATACACTGCGTTGCAAAAATATAAATCCACCTGGAAAGTTCTTGAAAATTCGCATGATAGGGTGTTTCTGAAAAAGCCTTTGAAAGAAAAATGTGCTCAATATAAATATAATTTCGAGTGTAAACACCAACTTCCATTTCGAAACACGAAAATTTTTTATTTTCATTTTTCAGAAAAGGGCCACTTTGCCGATTGTGCAAAAATATAAATCCACCCCATGTTTCTCGGTTGAACTTCATTGTTATTTGGCGTAACTGTCAGGTTGTTTCCACTTCCTCTTTCTCAGGTGATGACGGAAGCAACACCGTAATCGGACTCCGAAAAAAAGGCGAAATCTGCAAAAGAGTGGGGAGATTTGTCATGCAGACATACCGCGCGTGATTTGAGCACCGCTTATGTGGTTGTTGAGCATTTTGTCAAGAATCCTGCAGCATGTGGAATCCAGAAGAGCACTGAACCCTTTTCTTCGTGTTTTGGGTGCGATGACCGTAGTTTTATAGGAACAGCAGCCGATTCTCCCAAGAGGTGCTCGGGAACTCAGCCTTCAAAAAAGCCTAATTTCAGGAAAGCCACCGTTTGGCGTGTGTTAGAAGAACTCTGAGACCACTCTTCGACGGAAAATGAGTATGGCACAGTTTAAGACACAAAGCCATCCCAAAAATCAAGCCAACTCTTCCATAATGTGTGCATGCTGCGCCAGCTGCATTAAGTTCGGCTTTCTACACGCTACTTTTTACTGTCTGTCTGAATTTCTCTGAGCTTTTTTTTCTGGCAGTGTGTTTGGCAGAGACAGGAACTCATATTGAAAAAGGAAACCAGTGAAAAAGTGAAAACAGCCATCAAAAGGTACTGCGCGGCCAATTGGCCTCGCTCCGGCCAGATCGACCACTGATCTTGGGAAACTTGGCTTGATTTTTGCGATGATTCGGGATTTTTAATGTGTCCTACTCATTTTCCGTTGAACAGTGGTCAGAGTTCCTCTAACACACGCCGATCGGTGACTTTCGAGAAATAAGGTTTTTTTGAAGGTTGAGTTCCTGAGCACCCCTTGGGAGAATCGGCTGCTTTTTCCCATAACACTACGGTCATCGCAACTGAAACGCGAAGAAATGGGTTCAATTCTCTTCTGGATTCCACATGTTGCAGAGTTCTTGAAGAAATGCTTAGCAACCACGTTAACGGGGCTCAAATCACGCGCGATTTGTCTGCATGGCAAATCTCCCCACTCTTTTGCAGATTTTGCCTTTTTTTCGGAGTCCGATTGCGGTGTTGCTTCCGTCATCACCTAAGAAAGAGGAAGTGGAAACAACCTGACAGTTACGCCAAATAACAATGAAGTTCAACCGAGAAACATGGGGTGGATTTATATTTTTGCACAATCGGCAAAGTGGCCCTTTTCTGAAAAATGAAAATAAAAAATTTTCGTGTTTTCGAAATGGAAGTTGGTGTTTACACTCGAAATTATATTTATATTGAGCACATTTTTCTTTCAAAGGCTTTTTCAGAAACACCCTATCATGCGAATTTTCAAGAACTTTCCAGGTGGATTTATATTTTTGCAACGCAGTGTATTTAGAATCAAAGCGCTCATGTCTTAGGGTGGGGCATATTCGGAACAGGACATTCAAAAACCGCTGGTAGGTGACACTAGAACTGAGCTCCAGGACTGGAATGGGCACAAGGGGAAACATGGTTGCCAAGCAGAGTCAACCCTGCGTTGCGCAGTTCGCAACGGCACGTTGAGAGATCCTCAACGCACGCTGTATGGGCGGAGACACAGACGGCTCGAGCATGCGAGTGTGAATGTTCGCGCGAGAGAACGTGTCTAATCGGGCGAAACTGCGCAACGTGGCCGTTGAAAACTGCGCAACGCAGGGTTGACTCTGCTCACAGATCTTTCCGCCTCCCAATAACGCTGGGAGTGCTGAGTTTTACCAGTGGCCCACCTCCTCCAACGCCCCCCCTAAGGACATAAGCGCCGGTGCAAGTATTAAAGAGCAATGACGACTTCGCTGTATAATATTTATCAGGGCGATGCTCAAGTGTATCATTTCATAAATCTGTCGCTCCGAGTACTTTGATAAACAAGTAAATGTAATTTACCTCAAATTTCATTTTAGCAGCTTTTTCCAGATCGTCCTCACTTTGGCCACTTTTTCCAGTCAGCAGGTTCGCTGTCTGCTTATAATACTTCTTTCTGAACTTGTTTAACTGCCGTACTCCATAAATGACCTACAACAGCGACTATTAAACAAAGAATATAAAAATAACAACATCAATGTTTACCTCTCGCCTGACATAAGAGTGATGATGAGGATCGGGAGACGATCCAGATTTTGTTATAAAGGTATGCAAATATATCGACTGATTCCTCAGTAGAGATTCTGGCGTCGGAATGGTTTTTTGGAAGAAAATGAACTCCGTCCTATAATTGACACCATTACAACAATAAATAAACTCAAAAACTGTAACTTCATCACCTTTTCTGGACCGCTCGAATAATCTCCATATCTCATCCCAAGGCTTTGGTAGAAAAGGTTTCGATTTGCGAAATCTGAGAAACGCTGCTCCTTAATTCATCGAAATGACCATGTAGGTATAGGAAACAACACACCTACACAGTTTAATGTTACCATCTTCGCTTAGATTAGAAAAAAGGCCTTGAAATTCATGTATTGAACCCACTAATGACAGTGCAATGAGAAATAAGATGCATGCACTCATAAATAAAAGACCAATCCTATTGCACTTCAATTTTGCAGTGGGTCATAAGGGACGAGATGCAAAAACCAAGCATGGCAATTTTATATGATACGTATAAATATAGGCAATAGGACTTGCCCCAAGGTTATGCAAATGAAAAGGGCTGCCATAAGCTTCGCTAGGACAGAAACGACTTTCCACTC